TGTTTAATGTGTTCCATGACCTTAAGGATAAAATCATAAACTTTTATTTATTATTTACTTAGGTGTCCTGATGGCATGAATTATCTATGTACTTCATGCCTACTTCATGTCTGGGAAAGCCAGAAGAAGGCATTGGGTCCCCTGGAACTAGAGTTACAGGTGGTTGTGCACCACCATTTGGGTACTTGTGGGATAGATCTTAGGTCCTCTGGAAGAAGAGCCAGTGCTCTTAATCACTGAGCCATCTCTCCAGCTCCAAACCCAAACTTCTCAACCCAGAGTTCTAGTCTCATGATTTCTGCCCTGCTCCCTTCTGACCCATGTCTTTATGTGCTCTGTTGGAACATACACAGCTTCTTACAGCTCCCAGCCTCACACCATGGACCACACATTTTGTCCCTAGAAGGCCCTTCTGCTTATATTATATTATAGAGAAACCAGCTCTTTAAAAATAGCAAAGCAGGCTCAGCATTGGGGTGCATGTCTTTAATCCCAGTACTTAGGAGGCAGAGTCAGGAGGATCTTTGTGTGTTCAAAGGCAGCTTAGTCTACCTAGAGAGTTCCAGCCAGTCAGGACTACACAGTAAAATTCTCTAGCTAGCATCAGTACCACCACTGCAGTTGAGTTGAAAAACCCTTCCCTGTATTTCTAATATCCTCTATTTAAAATCTGTAACCACCCGTTTATTTAACTGACTTCCTCACAAAGCTGTGAGCTCTTTAGGAACTACCACATTATATCCTGTTAGTATATTTGGTACCTAATACAGAACTAAGTGTCTGGAAACATTAAACATAAAGTTTAATAAGAGAGTAATTGAAGGAATGAATTAAATCTATGTATGAAATGCATAAAATTTTTAATCTGTTATTTATAACAAAGAAGATATATTTTGTTTCATGAATCTGAATGTTCTGCCTGTATGTGTGTATGTGCAGTGTGCGCATGCCTGATGTCCTTGGTCCTCGGGAGAGTTTTGAGTCCCCCTGGTGCTGGGAACCAAATCGAGATGCTCCACAAGAACAGTAAGTGCTCTTAAATGTTGAGTCAAATCTCCAGGCCCTGGTTTTCAATTACATCAGCATGTATTGCATATCAGCAATGTCAACAGCATCTGGCCAGAAAGGAGACACATTTCTGTCTTTGTATCCTAAGAGATGTTTACGACAGAGGAGAAGAGCTCCGTTAAACAGCAAACCCCAGGGCACTAGCCTGGGAGCTGCAGTGCTGAGAAAAGACTCAGTCACAGGGAGTCAGGGTGGATGTCTCTTCTTAGCAGAGCCAAGTTGATGAACTTTTTCAACAGAAACTAAAAATAAGACTCAGAAAAGACAGAGTGATTTTTCAAGAAGACGTAAATTTCTCCTGGCAATAGGAAAAACTAAGCAGAAGTTATGAGTGGATTCCAGGACCTGCTGTGAGGCTCAGACCCTCAGAACCCTATCTGCTCCCAACAGGCTTGGCTGGTGGAGATTTTACAGCAGCCCCATGGCTCCCAGGCAACAATGTTTGTTTGTTTAAATTTTTAGATTTGTTATATATATATATATGTATATTTTGCCTGCATGTGTGAATTTGTACTACGTGTGCCTGGTGCTCAGAAGTCAGAAGAGAGCTTTGGTTCCCCTAGAACTCGAGTTGTAGGTGGTTGTGAGACACATACAATGCTGGGAATCAAACCCTGGTCCTCTGCAAGAACAGTCAAAGTTTTTTAGCCCAGACAATGATGTTTGTAAGGAGAATGAAATATTTTTCTTCTTTTGGTGGTGGCGTGCTTGGGAATTGAACTGAGGGCATTTCTCAACAGCCCAAGTCACACTCAATGGCCCCTGCTTATGGGAAGGGGGAGCCCTTCCCTCTGTGTTTTAGGTTTTCCAATGGAAAACCTCCTTCAGTCAATGGCCTTTGAGTGGCTGCGCAAGGTTAGGGTACCAAAAAATGTATCCCCACTGACTTGTTCTCTCTTTCTCTTCTTCTCTCACCTGAATTCTGGGTTCATTTCCTGTTCCTGATTCATACAGAGGCCTGGGATCTGTAAGTTCCCCCTAAACAAGGAACCCCTTATCATACCCCCATTCAGAGCTAGTGTGGGATTTCTTTATTTGCATTGCCCTTTATCTGGTACATTCCCCTTCAGTCTTCTGTGCTTCAGCTAGAACTGAAATGTGGCTTGACCTGTAGCAACACGACCGACTGGTCTAAATTTAAGACTCTGAAATTTTTCCTGCTTCATGAAACTCACCTATTTTGTTTTATTTTTTTTTAGGGGTTCTTTTTATTTTCCTTGAAACAATCAGCATCTTACCTTTCTAGAGCATAATGCCTTAGCTTTATCTTCATCAGACAGTTCTATGGGTAGGGAACCTCTTCTTCTGTTCCTTGTCCATCATCTCCTCAGCCTTCTCTTTCACCATTAGCAATGGAGCCCAGAGCCTTTAACACTCTAGGCAAGTGCTTTAAAACTGAGCTATATTCCACCTAAGGTATCTTAATGGTTTTCACAAGGGACACGTTGGAAGATAGATGGGCTGGAAATGAATCTTAGGGGGTAGAGTGCTTACCTAGTACCTTGAATCCCTAAATCCATTCCTAGCATCAAACATGTGTGTTTACTTACATACAATCTTTCTCTCCTATACACACACACACACACACACACACACACACACACTAGCTGGAGAATTTTCTCTGTCCCACCTGGTCCACTAAACCATATTTTTTTTTGTTTACCAGTCCCCACAGCTTCTTATAATATAATCACTCAGAGACTTAATATTAAGTATAATTGTTTTGCCTATGGCTCAGGCTTCTTACTGAATAAGTCTACATATAAAGTAACCAATTTCTAATAATCTATGTATCGTGGCTTTGTGGCATAACCTGTTCTCTAGTACATCTTATTGTGCCAGCAGCTTCTGGCATCTTCCTGACTACCCCTTCTTTCTTCCTCTATCTCTGTTTGGATTTCCCACCTAGCTACATTCTGCCCTGCCATAGGCCAAAGAAGCTTCTTTATTAACCAATATAAAAAACATATTCACAGCATACAGAGGGGCTATTCCATAGCAACTTACAAACACCACAGTTGAGTTCACGTACACACACACACACACACACACACACACACAAAGAAACCACATATGAGTTCACCTACATAAACACACACAAAGACAGACACCACAGATGAGTTAACCTACACACACACAAGAATAAGGTGTTCCTTACACCTACCCTTGCTGAAAAAATAGCCACTTCGACACCTTTCCTTAAAGTTTTTTGTATTTATGTTTCTGTCTTTTGTATCTGTGAGAATTGTGGCATTGGTACAGTTATCTTTTAGATCAAACATCAAGACTGACAGGTCACATAGGCTCTAAAGCAGCATTCTTTCACTGTGTCATTTACCTGATTTTCAGCTAAGACCTTGTTGTTGTAAATTTAAAAAGTGTCTCAAAAGGAGAGCTTACATGACGAACATGCCAGAGGCATTTCTTTATACTATTTTATAATTTATATGTTTCTACATGACTTTGAAGTGAGAATGTCCTGCTTTTACATTGTCATCATGTTCAGAAATGGATTTGTTAACTGAGCCTGCTTAGGAATAGACAGAACTCTACATAAATGTGTAGAGACCCCCTTAGTAAAATCCACATGCTTCCTTTGTTTTGAAAAAGCATTGTTTTGGAAATATTTCCTATGTTTTCCCTACCTCCTGCACATAACAATTTTTCTCATTTCTTCTGTCTTGACTTTTGTGATGGCTAATCTTGGAAGTCAAATTGACTACATCCGGAATTAACTACTTCTGGTAAACCCAATGGGTATGTCGATGAAGGATTTTTTCTAAAGATTTTGAAATTAAAGACCTGTCTTTACTCTGGATCATTTGAGAGAGTGGACATGGCTTGTCTCTTAAAGAGACAGATCATTTAGTGAGGGGGTCTCTGAGGTTCAGGACTCCTGATTGGCTGACATTTGCCTTGGGGGTGTCCTAGTGAAGTGCTGGTAGGTGTTTCTGTTTATAGTGCTTGGAATGCTAGGAATTTCCTTTGAATGGTCTACTCTTGGGTAGGGGTTTGGTAATCTCAGCCTGCCAGGCATTTTCTCAGGGTAATCTATCTAGACTCCAGACTCCATTTAAATTTATTGATGTCCAGAGTCCCAGGTGATAATGGGTGAAAGTAAAGAACTTCCTTAAGATGACCTGCCCAGACTTAGCTTTCATGGCTGGCCCCCACAGAGTGAGGGTCTTACAATAACAAATATCTCCTTTTGTATCTTTAAATCTCCCTTTAGCTGATAATATTCTGGGCATCCTTCCACCTGTGGGACAGGGACATAGGATGCTGTAGTGTCAAGGAGAAGACTGGGAAGTGCCTGTGGAGAGCAGGAAAATAGCAGGGTCTGCTATTGGAGTCAGGGGAACATGCTATGGAAACATATCTCTGCTATTCTAGAAAAGGTCTTTGGGATGAAAGTGAGAGTCAGGAACCATCGTACTGTGTCTTTAATTTTTCATTTCTTAAATTTTTAATTAATTAATTACTTAATTTTCTGTTTTTCGAGACAAGATTTCTCCGTCGCTTTGGAGCCTTTCCTGGAACTAGCTCTTGCAGATTTCTTTTCTTTCTTTTTTCTTTCCTAATTTTTTAAAATTTATTTTTATTTTTTCCAGACAGGGTCTCTCTGTACCTTTGGAGCCTGTCCTGGAACTAGCTCTTGTAGATCGATAGATCTATTTATCTTTCTATTGTCTCTTGAGACAGGGTTTCTCTGTAGCTTTGGAGACTTTCCTGTGAGTAGCTCTTGTAGACTAGGCTGGTCTAGATATCAAAGAGATTCACCTACCTCTGCTTTCCATGTGCTGAGATTAAAGGCATCCACCACCACCATCACCACCCAGCTAAGCTATGCCTTTAAGTCCAGTATAATGCTATGGGAGGTGCTCTTGTCGCTCAGGCCTCACTAGCCAATCAGACCCTCTAGGTGACCTGCCAGTCAGAAGTTGTGCAGGATTCTTCCGGCTGTGGCAGCCATTTTCAAGCTTGACTTTGAAGAGAAGTCAGCAGCAGTGTTCTTGTGTGCTCTGCTGTGAGTGCAGGAAGCTGAGTAAGGAGCATGGGCAAGTTGGAAAACCACGATGTGGTGAGTTTGGGGCTAATCTCAGACCGGGAGAAGCGGCTAGTTGAGCCGTGGGAGACAGTGTGCTGCTTCATCCTCTGGCCGGGCCGGAGCCGGTGACCAGATGCGGAGTTCGTTCTGTATCTGCCTGATCCTGCTGGTCCTGCTGGTCCTGCTGGTCCTGCCTGCCCCAGCAGGGTCTGCGTGAACATACATGATTCTGCATGTTCTTTGAAATTCCCGAGCTGGCTGGCAGCGGCTGAGTAACTTAACTATGCTTACTGAGCCTGTTCAGAGATTTGAGAATGGGACTGTGCCTTGCTGGCTCGGGAGTGAGGCTCGCTCCCCCGTCCCGGGCCGCGGCTCTTGGTGCCACCGGGAGAACCAGGTCATTGGCCGGTTCCCATGAAAACAAAAACAAATGGCGGTGCTGCAGGGGGGCAGCGGAAAGCAGGGAGCCAGGGGGCCCGGGGCGGGACTCGGCTGGATGGGGCAGGCGAGATAGCGCGAGCAGCAGGGCCAGGGCTCCATGGGGCAGGCAGGCACGGGCTACGCGGGGCTCCCCCGGTACCGCGGCTAGCGTGCCTGCCTTACCTTAGCCTCCCACGCCGACGCTGCCTTGGGGGACGAGGAGCAGGACGCGGCCTCGGTGGGGCCTGGGCCAAATCGCTGCGGACTCACCGCAGGGGAGCCGGGCGCCGCGGTCTTTGGCATGGATCAGTGCTTGACGGTGGAGCGCGAGCTGGAGAAGGTGTTGCACAAGTTCTTAGGCTAAGGGCAGCTGTGCGAGCGTGGCCTGGAGGAGCTCATCGACTACACCGGCGGCCTCAAGCACGAGATCCTGCAGAGCCACGGTCAAGATGCTGAATTATCAGGGACACTGTCACTTGTTTTGACAAAGTGCTGCCAAAGAATAAAGGACACGGTTCAAAAGTTGGCCTCTGATAACAAAGACATCCATAGCAGCGTTTCTCAAGTTGGAAAAGCCATTGATAAGAATTTTGCCTCTGACATTAGCAGTGTGGGAATAGATGGCTGCTGGCAGGCAGATAGCCAGCGACTTCTCAACGAGGTGATGGTGGAATACTTCTTCCGACAAGGAATGCTGGATGTAGCTGAGGAGCTCTGCCAGGAATCTGGACTGTCTGTGGACCCAAGTCAAAAAGAACCATTTGTGGAGTTAAATTGAATATTAGAAGCATTAAAAGTCAGAGTTCTGAGACCTGCTCTCGAGTGGGCAGTATCCTGCCGAGAAATGCTCATAGCCCAGAACAGCTCCTTGGAATTTAACCTACACCAACTGTACATTATTAGCTTGTTAATGGGTGGAACTACAAATCAGCAGGAAACCTTACAGTATGCAAAAAATTTCCAGCCATTCCCTCTAAAAAGACATCAAAAAGACATTCAGGTATTGATGGGAAGCCTCGTGAGACAAGGGATTGAGAATTCACCATGTGTTCACCTACTTGATGCAAATCAGTGGGCTGACATCTGTGACATCTTTACACGGGATGCTTGTGCCCTCCTGGGGCTCTCTGTGGAGTGTCCTCTCAGTGTCAGTTTCTCAGCAGGTTGTGTGGAACTGCCCGAACTAATTAACGTCAAAGCTGTGATTGAGCAGAGACAGTGTACTGGAGTTTGGAACCAGAAAGACGAATTACCTATTGAAGTGGACCTTGGTAAAAAGTGCTGTTATCACTCCCTGTTTGCCTGCCCCATTTTTCGTCAGCAAACAACAGATAACAATCCACCCATGAAATTGGTTTGTGGCCATATTATATCAAGAGATGCCCTGAATAAAATGTTTAATGGTAGCAACTTAAAATGTCCATATTGCCCAATGGAACAAAGTCCAGGAGATGCCAAACAGATATTTTTCTGAAGAAATGAGTTTGTTTGCAATTTGTAAGTGAAACTGAATTATGGGTACATTCAAGACGAGTGATCCATTGACTGCAGCTATCCAAGGACTGCCGGGTTTATGAGCTGTGCTCCAGAAGCTACTGACACGCTAGTGTGCACGAGGGCGTGCTCCAGATGGTGTTCCATAGGGCTTTTATCACTCTTGGTCTCCGTTTCTGATCAAGTAAACACACCAGCAGTTGCCATTCAGTGCAGGTGTTGTATTTACTATAAGGTGATTTTGTTACTTAAAATCAGAAACAGATGTTGACCTTCCTGACTTGTGATTAATATTCCTGCTTTTACTTCTGTCATTTTCTTGATAATTGTAAGCTTGAGCGTGTTTGTGGAAGAACTTTTTTTCTTGTTATATATACATAATTAAATGAAACTTCTTCATAGGAGTTTGACAAATTGAATTGTGGTTATACAACAAATTTGCTTTTTTGTTTTATCTTTCTTTTTGACTTAATGAAGAAAGCTGTGATGAATTCCAGATTTGTGTTGCTTTTTGATGTTTTTCTCTGCTCCGGCTCTTGCTTCAAAGTCGGCACGCTTGCATTTGAGTTCTGTCTGTAGCCCAGCAGGCTTCCTGTTTAAAATCCCATCATGAATTTAGCCGTCAGATGTGAGAATGAAAGGGATATTACTGGTTCTTTGTTTTTATTAACAAGAGGTGCTTTTAAAAAGTACATTTAATAAATGGAATTCTGAAGTAAGGATGTTACTAAGTTGATACATGCTCTCTCGGTCTTAGCACCCTATCCTTTGAAATCTGCCTTCAAGTCTTGGCTGGGTATCACATTAGTTGTTCCTCACAGACACACAGTGTTGTGCATGTGGCTATAAATATGTGTGCCGGCATCAAACATTGTGTATGTAGAAGGGAAAAAGCATGTTCCAGTTCTAAATGCATTTGCCAGATTCATCACTTCAGGTCATTAAGGATAGACACTAGCACCTTCTGTGCTGTGGCCACGTTGTTCTGTGTTGGATTAGATATTGTTCATGCCTCTACCCTGCAGCGTCTTCTTGAGTTGACTGTGGACCTGTATAGTAATCAAATGTCTACAGATAATGTCTTTTCTTTTGTGAGGTGTCTTCATTTAATGCACTCCCCACAAAGAGCCTTGCGGGAGAGTTATTCTCCGTATGAAGAATTACATGGCAAAGACTTCTGTGGACGTAATTCTGACTTAAACCCCTGAAATACTTCACCTTGAGAAGAGTGCTGTGTGAAAGTCACCAAATAATCTACAACTTTGTTTCATCTGACATAGATCTGAACATCAACATAGGAGTACTTTCATGTGAAAATGAGGAAGTTGTAAACACAGAAGCAAAGAGAAACGTGACTTTTCCTGTTTTAAACTACAGATGGACTCGGTTTAAGGGAACGGGGAACAGCTTTGGGGCTAAGTTAGTTAGAAATTGCTGGCATTCACAGTGGTGTATGCTAGCCTGGATGGTTTACTGGAACGTTTACCTGGGAGAGCTGGCATTTGCTTGTAAAGGGAAAGAATAATACTCAGAAAAGCCCTGTGGAATGACCATATGGTCAGTTTCATGTTGATGGCTCCTGTGTGCTGTGTTGGTTGGCCGGGATCATGATTGGCCCAGCTCAGAGTGCAGGCTTTGTTCACATGACTGCTTCATTGTGCAATGCTCTGTAGAGTCCCCATATCCCATGAAACAAGCAGTGAAAGGGGAGTAGAGATGCCTCTGAACTGCCGGAGAAAAGGCATAGTGCTAGGCAGTATCCTGTTGAGGGTGTAAACTTGTTTACTATAGATGAGTTTTCCTTTGAATTAAATTCTAGAGTATCAGGCTTTTTTTTTTAATAACTGTTATTCCTAAGCCAAATTTAGTTTTTAGGGTTTTTTTCCCCTCCTAACTTATTCTTACCTTCCAACTTCAAACATCTACATGACATTTAGACTTCACATAAAGTTTGTGTGATACAACATGTTCTTGAGGCTGGTGGCAAATCCTTTTTGGAAGCAAGACCCTTCAAGTAGTTGGCTCAAGCCATTTTAAGGACATAGGCTCTACCTGGTCCTCCTGGTGCTGTGAGTCACATTGGCAGTTTTCTTGTGAAGCTCATGAAACTTTAAAGAATGAGTTTAGCAAGTGTTTGGTCTTACAGCTTCCTCAGTAAGGTCTTATAGCCCCAGTGGTCAAGGGCCAAGAATAGAAACTTGATCTGACATTTTACTGTGAAAATTAGGTTCTAGGCTCTTCTTTACCTGTGTGAACTTTTAATCTGTGAGAGACTGACTGCAGCAGAGGTGGATTTGAAGAAGCCAGACCTTGACCAAAGATGCTGAAGTACAGTATTAGGATCTTTCTACTCTAGAACCTCCTTCACAGTGGTGTAAGACCATGCCATCCCTGATGCCATGCTCATGCTAGCATGCAGGAGGATGCCATGTGTCTCTTTCTGCCTCTTATTAGAGAAGGTTATGCTAGAGGCCACGATTGCCAGTCACATGGCTAACAGGCATTGGAAACAGCCGGAGCTTCTTTGAGAGTCATTTCCTTTCCCAGTAGTGGACCAAGGCCGCCATGGGACTCTGCTGAACCAAAAAATCTGTACTAGCAAATGTTTAGATTCTGGTGTAGCCAGAGCTTCTCCGCAGTGGCTGAAGTTGTCGTTTCCTTTTCTCCTTTGTGTGATCATCACAGATGCCATTTCTGTTCAATGATGATTATAGAGACTTTTAATACATAAATGAACGGGTATTGGTGCCTCTTTATTTTTAAAAAATTGAAGAAAAAGAGCCACCTCATGTTTAGAGAGTATGTGTTTTGTGAGTGTGTGAGCATTTAATTGAAAATAAGAAAGGAAGTAAATTTTTAGTTTTACTTTTCCCACAGCAGCTAATGTGTAGGGAGACATTAATCCCACACCAAGTCCTGTAGGGATGGGGATCCCCAAGTCATCCTCTCCAGTTGCCAGTCCCACAGACTGTGCAGCTCAGATTCCTTATTTTTATGCTGTGTATTGTTTCCACCTCAGAGATGACAGCCTTTAGGACAGTGTCAAAAGCCAAGAGCTCTTGGATTATCTGCACAATTCCAGCTGCTGGTAGACTAAACAAGCCCTCTGGTTTCCCAGC